GAGATGAGATATTGGAGGGAAAGCAATATGTCTTCTGTCATCACTGTTTGCTTAATGTGATTTCTTAAAAAAGTATTTTTTAATATATTTTTTATGTTGTCTTTGGACATTGATCTTCAGATATTCTGCGAGAAGGTTCTAGAAGACATCTAATTTGACTGTTCAGGGTTTGGACTCGCAGATTGAGTTAATGACATTTAATTAATTCACTTTTTTACCTAATTTTTTAAAGGTTCAAAATTTGTCTGAGAGGTGTGGAACTGGATGTAGGGGAAAGGGTATTTTGGGGGGTATTTTGGGGAATGACTTGCGTGTCCTTGGCCTTGTTCCACAGAGCGATCATAGAGCTACGACTGTCAGAAGTCTATGTTATGGTATAGGAGTTACAATCATCTGTGCACCACAGTCACTATGAGGAACAGGGATCAGTTCAGGAAGGAAAGTCTAGTGTATTCATTGCACTGATAAAGTTGATTCCCCCCCTGGGTAAGTTTTAAAGTGGAGTTGACATGGGGGCAGCCTAACCTGCAACCGCTGGTGTCGATAGGGATGGCGTGGAAAATATTGAGCACTTGGTCATTTGTTCAAAATAATCGGCTCCTCTGTAAAGTACCCTCCGGCGAGTAGATACATTTTTGTTTCCCTACTTAATATAATTACTTGTGAAATTAAGTGCTGAGGAATTGCCCAGGGGCTCCCTGAGCATAGGAATGTCCCCCAGTCGTCTGTGCTTGTCGTCAGAGTTGACTAAAATGGACCGGGTGGTCTGACGCTTGGTTGCTTGACTTAATGTGTGTCGGGGGCACGGGTGGCCCAGTCGTCTAAGGCGCCGCGATTCGCTGTGCAGAGTTGCGTCCCTTGGGCATGCCAGAAACCTATGATTGTGGGATTGGAATCCTCGAAGAGGTTATTAATCTTACATGTGATGACTTCAGTTGTTTGCTGCACATGCTCTTGGCCTTGTAAGCCATTATCGAGTTTGGTTTATACCTCGACTTCTGTATTGTTTCACAATAAGGTCTTCTTTGGGCTTTCCTTCCACATTAAGCTGATATAACTGGAATATTGTTTAAAGCGGCGTTAAACCAAACTCACTCACGCACTCATGCAGAGAGAAAAATCTGAGTAAAAGATCTGATTTTAATAAGATTTCTTATGGTCTAGATGTGATTGTTTTCTTGATAGGTTAATATTGTTGCTTATCACAATACATGCAAGCACAGGGGCGGTCGGGTAGCCTAGTGGTTAAAGCGTTCGCTCGTCACGCCGAAGACCCGGGTTCGATTCCCGACATGGGCACAATGTGTGAAGCCCATTTCTGGTGTCCCCCGCCGTGATATTGCTGGAATAGTGCTAAAACAGCGTAAAACCATACTCACTCACTCACTCACTCACATGCAAGCACAAGTAGTTAGGTCGCGTATGGTGCTGCAGCTATGCATCAGGGAATCAGTTTCATCCAAGTTCATTAACTGAAGGTGTAGTTTGGCACCGTACTGTAATGTACTCACTCAGTCTGTTCAGTAAGTATGTGTAGAAATGTGCCAAATGTTTCTTGATGGTGTAATGGATAGTGTCTGCCTGTAGAGTGAACATTGGTGGTTCAATCCCCCCAACACGTTAAAAGATGGGGGGGCAGGGTGGCCCAGTCGTCTAAGGCACTGCAATTCGCTGTGCAGAGTTGCGTCCCTTGCGCACGCCAGAAACCTATGATTGTGGGTTCGAATCCCGGTTCACCCCAATTATGTTTCTAGGTTTGTCAGCACAATACCCGTGCTTGTGGGTTTCACCGAAGTGGGAAACATCTAAGACCTGCCTCACTTCAGACTTTCCTCCCACATTAAGCTCACATGCCGCGATATAACTGGAATACTGTTAAAAGTGGTGTTAAACCCAACTCACTCACTCACAGTTAAAAGGTGGTACTTGTTGTTACCCTGTCTGGCGCTCGTCATTAAGGGGCTAAAACAAGGATGGGTCGGCTCGGAGTCGGTATACAGTGTCTGAGTGGGGTATTCATGTTAAACTGTGGCATGGTATCTCAGTGGGCTAGAACTATAAAACCGGCAATTGTCCGGTACAAGCAGCCACACACACATGTACATGCAAGTCACTAAAGAAGTGAAACAATCATGAATATTAACCCCCATTTCACCCCCCCCTGTATATCTTTAAGGCTGCACATATGAATTGCAAAGCATTGTGTTCCTAAAGGATATCCCATGGGTAAACATGACCAAAATATACGTACAGTTTCATTCTATGAAGAACGTTATCATCCAAATCAAATACAGCAACCTGAACATCTGTATATTCATTTGCATGCCACAGATCTTTTTACAGTAGACACAGCTGTGTAGAAAAGGCATATAACTTCCTTGTCTCTATAATTGAAAAGGTTTTTGTTTCAATGATGGCGTGAACTAAGTCTACCACTTGATAATTGACAACAAATTTAACTTGTGTATAGTTTTAATAAGTGCCCCCTTTGTCAAGTTTCCAGGGCCCGCTTGCACAAAGCGATCTTAGCGCTAAGATGATCGTAACTCCCGTACTTTAACATAGGCTTACAATAGTCGTAGCACTAAGATCGCTTTGTGCAAGTGGGCCCAGGGCCCCATTCCACAAAGCGATCTTAGCGCTAAGTTGATCGTAACTCCCATACTTGAACATAGACTTATGACTGTTATAGCGCTAAGATCGCTTTGTGGAACAGTGCCCAGGTGTCTGTTGTGCTAATTACGGTGGTAACAGGTATGTCAAGGGATTCAATTAGAAGATTTACGGTCATATTTTGTGTATGAAGGTGAAGCACACACAAGATTATTTTCTGATTTTAGTGACACTAACTGTCTTCAGATTTAACAGATTTCAGATAGCCTGCAAGAATCCATCTTAACAACATGAACATCATAGCAGAATACAGAGCATTTATTTCAAAACAGTTTCAAATGGCAAGGGGAGGTAACTCCAAACCCTGTATAATATGGCATTGCTAAATATGTCTCATTGACAAGCTAACCTGAAAAACGATATACTAAAAACTGTAATATCATTTCATCTTTTTTTGTAAACTGAATGACAAAAATAGCTGGTGCTGAGACTAATGAGGTGCAAGTTGACTGTCATCTTGTATTATATGCAGGCTTGATGTACAGGGAACAACTTTTCAACAGACCTTTTTGTAACATTTTGCTTCAGAGAATATGTTTTTTGGTCTAAAAATGAACCACAGTTAATTTTTTTCCCTCTTTTTCATATCAGTTCATGTAAACTATTTTGTTCAGCATAAGTTTTTCAAACATATCCTCAAAAACCATAAGGCCTATTTGATGTTGAAGCTTTGTGGTGATAATCTCAAATCTGACAATCTGAATTTCTGCTGTGCATAAATGTTATCAAGATTGATTGATTGATTGTTTGTTGTTTGACGCCGCACTCAGCAATATTCCAGCTATATGACGGCGGTCTGTGAATAATCGAGTCTGGACCAGACAATCCAGTGATTGATATCATGAGCATCCATCCACGCAATTGGGATCGATGACATGCATCAACCAAGTCAGCGAGCCTAACCACCTAATCCCTTTAGTCGCCTTTTACGACAAGCATAGTCGCCTTTTGCGGCAAGCATGGGTTGCTGAAGACCTATTCTACCCCGGATCTTCACAGGTCTGTTATCAAGAGGAATCCAATTAGGAATCCAATTTACATGAATTTAAGATGTCTGTTGTGTAGAACTTGTTACTTGTTTGTAATTCAATTTTTGCTCTTGTAAATGTATCCTTTTGCATGTAATTTTGCAATTATTGCAGAATGTAATGGTGAGCTACAGAACATTTTTTTTATTAATTCCAGAATTATTTACTTTATTTATTCATGGCTGAATTCTGAATTCAGTCTATCTTTGGTCATTACTCAACCTAGCACTTTCTATGAAGGCTTAAAATTAAAACGCATCCCTAGTCAGTGTTCCTACTGGCTTTTGAAACTGCTAGTCCTTGTGGACTGGCAACTCTAAAAATTACCAGTCCCCCCTAATTTTTGCCAATCCCAACTTTCAACACATAAAAAAAAGTATGAAAATTGTTTGGTTTTCATTCTTTCAACTTTGTGTTCAGTGCAAAGATGTCATCTCTGAAGTAACTTAATTAGATCTATACGTCATTCACACAAACTTCAGTCACAATTTTTTTTTTTTTATATTTTGAGACGAAGTCGCTACAGATGGATATTGAACCTAGAAATAGACAAGGGGAAACCCTGATGGTAACAGACAAACTGATTTTGTTCGAAAAAATGTACTTATTTGAATATCACCGATGTTTTGTTCAAGAACAAAGATTTATAAGTACTTTATTTGCTGGTCCACAGGGAAAGGCAGTCACATGAATTACTGGTCCATGCCTAATTTTACTGGTAAAAAACTGGTAATTACCGGTAAACGGGAACACTGCTAGTGTAGTGGATAGAGTGTCTGCCCAGAGAGCTGAAGGTCATTGGTTTAATCCCCTGGCCTGACTCATACCAAAGAGGGGGGGGGGTCGGAGCGTGGTTAAAGCGTTCGCTCGTCACGCAGAAGACCTGGGTTCGATTCCTGACATGGGTACAATGTGTGAAGCCCATTTCTGGTGTCCCCCGCCTTGATACACCTGGAATATTGCTAAAAGCGGCGCAAAACCATACTCACTCACTCACTCACTCATACCAAAGATGTTACAAGACATGGTACCCTGTATGGCGCTCTGCATTAAGGGAATAAAACAAGGACTGGGAAGCTCGGAGCCAGTATTCTGTGTCTAAGTTAAGTATTTATGTTAAACTGCGGCATTGTTTCTCAGTGAAATAGCATTATAAAACCGGAATATTCTGCACCAGCACAATCTGCTACTCACACACATGCATGCTCATTGCTATGTGAGTGAAATAATGTTGGACGATAAACCCCTCATTTTACCTCACCTATTAAAGCTAAACAATCTGCTCATCCATTTTACCAGGTCACTAACGCTGCAAGGATTATCAAGAAATAATTCAGCCTACAGCACCATTCGCCTCCACAATAAGGTAAGTCAGTGTTGATAAACGTGTCATCAATCAAATACAACGAAGTATCAAAAAGCAATGGATATATTGACATGGGCTATCCCTTCTCTGGCAACTTGTCAATCAAAGGGAAATTCTCCGAAATGATACATCGTTTGGTAGTCTCGGTATGGTCGAGGTTAAATGTATAATATCCAAGTCATCAGTAGCCAGTGCCAGACTTCACGGCTTACGGAGGTTGGACTGTCCTGGGCTGCACAGTCGTTAAGGTCGGCAAGTAATGGGCTGATTGAAGACTTATTCCTGAAAGTCTTCACCGGAAGGGGTTTGGATTACAGGATTATTTGGGATAAAAGGGATTCTTGTCTGAGATGCACTTGATAGAAATGGCACCAGGGACCTGGTGATGCCTTGGGTATATTTTCAGAGGATTGTTTAGTTGAACGTGTGCCTCTTTTCATCAATAAAATCAACATGGCTGTTCAGGATGCAGGATTCGAGGGTTTTGGTATGCAGGATGTAAGAACTAAGAATTCGGAATGCAGGATGCATTTTGGGGGATTTAGGATGTGGGATCGGCATTCAGCATGCGAGATGTTGGATGTGGGATCGGCATTCAGCATGCGAGACGTTGGATGTGGGATCGGCATTCAGCATGCGAGATGTTGGATGTGGGATCGGCATTCAGCATGCGAGATGTTGGATGTGGGATCGGCATTCAGCATGCGAGACGTTGGATGTGGATCGGCATTCAGCATGCGAGATGTTGGATGTGGGATCGGCATTCAGCATGCAAGATGTTGGATGTGGGATCGGCATTCAGCATGCGAGATGTTGGATGTGGGATCGGCATTCAGCATGCGAGATGTTGGATGTGGGATCGGCATTCAGCATGCGAGATGTTGGATGTGGGATCGGCATTCAGCATGCGAGACGTTGGATGTGGGATCGGCATTCAGCATGCGAGATGTTGGATGTGGGATCGGCATTCAGCATGCGAGATGTTGGATGTGGGATCAGCATTCAGCATGCGAGACGTTGGATGTGGGACCGGCATTCAGCATGCGAGATGTTGGATGTGGGATCAGCATTCAGAATGCGAGACGTTGGATGTGGGATCGGCATTCAGCATGCGAGATGTTGGATGTGGGATCGGCATTCAGCATGCGAGACGTTGGATGTGGATCGGCATTCAGCATGCGAGACGTTGGATGTGGGATCGGCATTCAGCATGCGAGATGTTGGATGTGGGATCGGCATTCAGCATGCGAGATGTTGGATGTGGGATCGGCATTCAGCATGCGAGATGTTGGATGTGGGATCAGCATTCAGCATGCGAGACGTTGGATGTGGGATCAGCATTCAGCATGCGAGACGTTGGATGTGGATCGGCATTCAGCATGCGAGATGTAGGATGTGGTGATTTTGGTTATGACATTTGGTTTGAGGGATGCAGGATGTGGAATGAAAGAAATGGGGATTCGGAATGCAGGATTTTGGATATGGGATTTGGGATTCAGCATGGTAGATGCAAGATGTGGGAGTATGGTTTGGTATACAGCTGTGTACTGTTCGGAATATTGTGTAGAGATTTTGAAGGGATGAAATCGTTTATATCAAGGATGAAGCTGTTTGAATAATATTCTCATAGAATGCCTGCGCTTTATCAAGACTGGACCGCCTCCTTGGTCCAGTGGTAGCGCATCCGCTTGTGCTAATGAATATTCAAACATATAAATACTTGGCTAAACACTTTATGACAGAAATATATGTGTTTTATTAAGTGTTGAACCCATGTGTCATACAGATCAATGGAGCCTTTCCAAGACTGGTTCTTGGCAGTATATGCATTGCATCATCTTTATGTCCTGATATCTGTTCTAGAGAGTGGTTCAATCCCTGACCGCGTCATATCAAAAGATATTAAACAATGGTACTTGTTGTTACCCTGTCATGATAATGATGATGATGATGATGATGATAGATTGTGATGCAATCAGATTTAGCAGTTTGTTTCAAAATGCATAGAGATCACCACTCGAGTAGCTGTCAGATACCTTACGGGGAGATGTTGCTGACGTATCTTACAAGGGAAAGTGAGTTAGATGTGCAGACATGCCTTTGAGTGAACGTATAGGACTCAGTTTGACGTCCTTTTGGGAGAGAACCGAAGGCTGTATGCAACAAAGACTGCCTTCTTCCCATTCAGAGTCTCAACATAAACATCCACTGTTTAAACTATGTAATACTGATTGCGATATTGAGGAAATATTCTTAAACTTTGCACCACCCATGTTAACTTTTGTTTATTATCACTTGAAATAAAGCTTAACATCCCATCCTGTTCGTATGACAACATCGACAAGCATCCAATCACATTTATGCCCCATCTGGACAGTGTTTGAAATTAATTTTAAGACCCAACAAGACAGTCAGGCAGGTGACTCATAAGTGTTAGGGCTGGGACGGGTAACTCGGGTACTCGGGTCAGGTGGGTCCTGAGCAGGACCCGGTACCCACAGGACTACCCGGACTCGTGATTAGTCACGTAATATATATTGTTTAATGACATAAATTATCTAAAACTCTATGGTTACACTACAAGTCACTAATATTCTCATTTCTTTCTGACAATGCACCCATTCCTTCTTACTTTTATATGTTTGAATAAAGATAATACTTCATACATTAAACTTCAGTGTATGCATGAGCGGATCGTTTTACACGTGTATCTAAATACATTTTGCCAGGGCTACGGTCAAACTTTTCCAAATCGGACAGTTTGTACCTATCTCTAAATATCTACAGCAGGTACCCAGGTAGGGTTGGGTAAAAGGGTGGTGGGTGGTGGGTACCCAGGTAGAAAATTTGGACCCATCCCAGCCCTTGTAAGTGTTGCTTGCCCATTTTCAAACTTACCTGCCTGTATTCAGACATAATAAATATTGAAAAATTGCAAAGAAACTTAAGAGACAAATTGCGTCTTGATTCAGTTGAAAAATTCAAATAATTAATAGAGTATCTCAAGGGGTTGTAATAAAACTGAATATGTAAGTAGTCGTAAAAGTATTTCATGCAGCCGGACAGAAAAGTTACCAGCCATGGGAAGGCAGGCAAGCAGATATTTCGGACACTGCATCTGGACTCTCCCTACCAAGTGTGTAGTGTACACATTCATGATGGGGGCACGGTTGGCCCAGTGCAGAGTTGCGTCCCTTGGGCACGCCAGAAACCTATGATTGAAGGTTCGAATCCCGGTTCGCCCCGATTATGTTTTTAGGTTTGTCAGCACCATACCCGTGCTCGTGGGTTTCATCGAAGTGGTAAACGTCTGAGACCTGCATCACTTTGGGCTTTCCTCCCACATGACTGACACGCCGTGATATAACTGGAATTCTGTTACAAGCGGCGTTAAACCCAACTCACTCACTGGCTCAATGCTTCAGTGAATTATGACCACCCCTGAATAGTTATAATGACATTATGTCATACACACTCTTTTGTAATAAAAGTCTTTTCACTCAGGATTTCTGCTATCGTGACAGCACTGTGTCGACACTTAATCTTTATGACTTGGACTCATTGTCAGTGGTTTGCCAATAAAACATCTGAGACCTCTTGTGAGCTGTACAGAAAGATCCTCTACCACATGCTAAATCTGAGAGTGTAATAATCGCTCCCTTGCTGTGACCTAATCTAGCGAACTAGACCTTAATGGCAGTATGTAAATATATAACAATCCCATTAAGTACACCCAATGCTTAAGGGTCTACTCTCAGCGCAGGTATCCAGATGTGCTAGTTGAGATTATTGGAGGTTGAATGGTGTCACCATTTTAGGAGGCATTGGTGTGTGGAGCTCCTGCAGCGGCAAGCAGTGCTGTGAGTTTAGGATACATTGCTTTCTAAGTTTAATGTTCACCTTATTTTTCCTGGTTTTTTTAAGATTCCAGGTTAGTATTGATCATAAGCAAACCATGCTTGTCTCACCCATGGAGATCTAGGTTAAAATGGGTCTTCAGCAACCAATGCTTGCGACCCTTTGTCTTCAGCAAGAGGCTTGTTGTAAGAGGCGACTAACAGGATCGGGTAGGCTGACTCACTGACTTGCTTGACTTGGAATTTGGCGTTGAACAACCAACAATGAATTAGTTTAGGTTTGTCAGCACCATACCCCAAACTCTTCACAGTGTTCCCCATTTGCAGAGCTCTCTTTACTATCCCGACCACCAGCCACAGCTCCCCACTTTGCTTAGCGGTTTACAACCATGTATGGAGTTGAACTCACAATGACGGACTGTCATGTTTACAAACAACTGATGATGGTCATGATGACAAACATCTTCCCGAGTCAAGTGAGTTAACTGACTATAAAAGTCCAGTTTCCACCCTTGCCGAACTAGGCTGGAATTATAGAGTTACATTTTGGCTGGACTAACGAGTCTATGCATAGTCCAATCAAAATCGCGCACTGAAATCGAAATCCAGTTAGTAAACTGTCATGCAGATTTCGGAGGAATGTAGGATTTGGAAAGCATGTGCACTGCCAACTCGTTGTCAACAGATATTTTCCAAGTCTTTTCATGTTTTTAATCAAGGTGCTCACGTGATTTGATGCATTTCCCGATGTTAGACCCGTTTTATCACAATATAGATCTTGATTATCGATCAGATCGTCTTGACTGGGTGCCGCCATTGTGTTTGGAACAAATGCAAGTGATACGAGAGGTGGAATCTGATTGATCCATAGAAGAGGCTTAGAAGGGACATAACTCGTAAAAGCCACTGGTGGCGCTACGATCGAGCCCAGGAATTCCAGCCTAGTTCGGCAAGGGTGGAAAGTGGACTTTTAACAGTCAGTTAACTCCCTTGCCTCGGGAAGATGGATGAGCTCTCTTTACTATCCCGACCACCAGCCACAGCTCCCACTTTGCTAGGCAGTTTACAAGCATGTAGGAGTTAAACTCACAATGATGGACTGACATGTTTACAAACAACTGATGACGGTCATGATGACAAATA